GAACAACTTACAAAGTACAATGCGCTGCCGTTAGTATCCACTCCTTCGAGATCAGAGAACCACCGCAATCATGTTTCCAGAATCCCCACAACTTTAATTGTAAAGAGATTTGGTATGGAGCATCTGTTATGTTTATAGGATGACCACCAACAATGCGATCATCGAGGCGCGGTGGTTGTCTGGAGAGCTCATTGATTAGCGAAGGTTGATGGTGGACGGGCTGCTGTATCGAGAGAACGCCCGCCAGGACAGCTACTGCTGTCTGGAGAAGCAAAAAAGTCACAAGCTTAACTGACATTGTTAATCTGACTTTGATGGAAGGAAGAAAGCAAAGGGTTTTTATAAGACTGGCCCAGCCCAGAAAACGATTATCTAACCAACAATTTAAGAGTTGTCAGTTGTCTGTTGTGCTAATCCCACTATCCAGGAATATTAGAGTTTAAAATAATTGCAAAATTCACGAGTAGCTTATGATACATATTATGAATAGCTGTTGGAAACTACTTTAGATTACTTAAGTTACCATTTGCTCATCTATTCAGAACTTGGTTAACTAATTTGAAACGTTGTTAACTTTTCGATAGCAAAAAACTAATTTAAAACGAAGCAGTGTGTTATCATATGCCATAATTTACCTCTTATGCCCTAGCATTGGCTCTTGACTTGATTCATTTTGAAATTCCTAATTTCAGTTTATAATTATTAACTTTATATAAGTATTTATAATTGTTGACTAAATTAAAATTAAGCATAAAAGCGTGCATTAGTCGAGCCTGCTGGGATGCGAGATCCAATAATTCTTCAATTTTTAATGGAGTATTAATGAAATTCTTACGAGAGAATAAAAAGAACGTAGAACTGAAACTTGGACAGTTTTTAAATTTCCAGACTAGCAGAATTTAAATAAGCTAACAACCGGTCTGCATAGATCAAAAGTTCTTGAATCTCATTTGCAATCAGCCCGATGAATAGCTGTCAACTGGTGCTGAAGGCTGCTTACAAATCACATTGGACACTTTCATTTATTATAGCAATATTTATTGCGAACTTCACGATTGTTCTTTGAAATGTAATTCATAAATAATTGCAATGCATTAAATGAAACCCGTTTTTCATATGAAGTAGAACTACCTGATTATAAGTAGGAAATGATCAATAGTTATTATTCAAGATTATATCAATGGCAATTGATGTAATTGACTCACGCCCCCACACGTGTCAATAAATACGACAAAATACTCTGCCTGCTCTTATTCACATGCTGTAAGAGTCCTGTCCTCATTTTCCATCTCAATAAGATCTCATCAGACATCATTACCATGGGCTGTGATCATTGACTCGATATTTGTAATCTGTAGAGAGCTGGTGAGACAAATTCACAAACTATTTCATGATATCACTCACGCCTTCTGCTATCTGCTGCATACATATTTTCACTAAAACAATAAGCTCCACTTACCCATTTGCAATAGATTCAATAGTAATTCAAGCGCGACTAAAAGCTTTGCAATTATAACCCCTAAACACGCCTCGCCTTAGTTGTTGTTGTTGTTGTTGTTAAATAGCTTAATTAAGCGCCAAATTGAATAGTTGAATTATGTTCCCATGAACCGCGCCGACTCAACGCCCACGCGCAAGCAACAACAATACAGAAACAACAACAACAACAGCATGCAACATAAGCGCTTTTTGCCACACGCCACCAGCTGCAACTAGTCCACCCAGTGGCAGGCACATTTGAACCCGCCGCCAATTGTGGCTCGACTCGCTGTTGATTAATATCAACTCTTGGGCGTTTTGAGTCGATAATGGAGTAGCGGGTGGGAGTTGTGGCAGCTAATGCCACCTGCTGCTGCTACTAGAGCCAAAGGGTATTTACTTATTGATTCCAGCTGACAGGTGCTAGAAGAGTCGAGGGCTTCCTCGTTAAGCTGGCTAATTAGTCGCAGTCCATTACAGCCATTGGCCACGGCAGCGATCGCTGTCGGTGCCTTGGGCAACCACGAGTCCGCAGTCCATGCATGAAATATCACGCCAATTACGCGCCGCAGCTTCCAGCCGAAGCGCGCGTACAGTGGCTGCTGCAAGCGTGCAGCCACGAAATTAAATCAATTAAATTACGCGAAGTCGAAATGTGACTGAGTTGACAAACATCAAATACTCTGTAAGGAATATAAAAATAAGAATTTATCTATTATTTAAGATTAGTACATATGCTATTTATAATTCTAAAAAACATTTATAATACATGTATACAAAAAATCATAAAACAATAGAATAAAACAATACAAAAATATACACATATGTGTAGAGAGTTATACTATATACAATTAAAGATATAGAAATATCACAACTAAAAAACTCTTAGCTGAACTCAGTTAAAGCTCTGAGCTAACCTTGGTGAATTTTTTAATACAATTCGCAATAGATCTATATGAAATAAATCAAGCATACATATATCATGAATTAACAGTTATATATTGCTGAGTCAATATGCTCTCTTTCACTCACTTATAGGGTATCAACTGTCGACAGGTTAAACCACAAATAAACAAAAACCAAATTAAAGCAAAATACCAACAACAAAAACCGTTAACTGTAAACATTAAGTGATTTTCATCAATTATGTTTGTATCTCATTAAACATTTATGGGATTGATTGGGGCTTCCATAATTAATTATGACGTCATACACGAGACTCACTCCACCTCATTTACTCAATTACTACATGGCTCTCTCTCTCTCTCTCTATTTTTATAGATGTACCGCCTGTTAACCGAGCTGCCTCGGATGGTGCTTCTGCTCCTGCTGATTGCGTCTCATCCTCTGGCAGCTGAGCCCGCTGGCTATCACTACGATCGTCCGTCTGCGGGTGCCTATGCACCGACGGCGTCTTCGGCCATTCTAACGGGACATCACTTTTCACCTCTGCCCACGGTGCAGCCGCTGCCTCCGGTGCCGGCGCTACCGCCGCTGCCACGGACGCGCATCCAGCAGCCAACGCTGAGACTGGCCAGTCGCTATCTGCCGCCAACGCCAACTGCGCCCGTGGTGAGTCGCTATCAAGCGCCCGCCTATGCTGCGCCGCTGTCCTCGATCAGCTTCCATGGCAACGCCCACGCCAAGGTGCAGGCCGAGGCGCCCACACAGCAGTCGCTGCCCATTCACGTGCCCAGTGCTCCGGCTGCTGCCCAGCCGCTGCGCATTCCCTTCGGCAAGACGGCGCTCTTCTCGCCGGGCGAGTCCTATGTGGCCAATGGACGGCAGCTGAAGCAGTATGCGGTCATCGAGATCATCGACAACGACATCAGCGACAGCCCAGCTCCGTTCCTCAGCTCCGGCTTCTTGGATCGCTATCGTGCGAGTGTGGGCGTCAGTGGCACCGGTGCCACGCCCACCTCCACGGGTGTGGGCCTTCAGCTGGACTCGCGTGCCAATGCCCTGGTCCTGGAGCAGCAGGCGTTGAGCTTGCAGCCGCGTGCGAATCAAGGCGATGCCATCGCCCTCGGCTCCGGCGGATTGGGCTACATCCGACTGCCCAACGGCAACGTCTACTTGGGCTCCGGCTCACTTGGCTACATCAGTGGCCAGCAGCGCGTGGCCTCCGTCCTGGATGCGCGCACTCGATCCGAGTCCACATCAGACGCTCTGCACTTCGGCCATGGACCATATGGTGGAGCGGATAACTTCTTGAGATTCTAATGCCTATTTTATAAGAAGAGTGGACGAGAGTAAGAGAGAGGGAGCAGGTTTTTGTACAATCCATAAATTGTTCATTGTAAATATTTAAATAAATCAAACAAAACAACAACATTAGTGTGTACTTTTAAAGCATCCCTATCAACTTATGCATATTTTCTTTGTATGTCTTCCTATGCGCGTCTCTACATGTAAACGAAATAAATGGAAAAATAAAAAATATATTTCGTTTTTTTTTTAAATATAGCTGGACTGCAGTATGTAAACTGCTTACAGAAGTGGTCATTTCTTAACAGTGCCATTTTGAGCCTAACATAATTGTGTTAAGTCACTTAATGAGCAGTGCCATTTTGAGCTTAACATTATGAAATTGCTTACAATTGCTCTTAAAATGCTTTTAGTTTTTGTAATTAGCGCTCAATGCATTTGATGACCTTTTCAGTTGTTGCTTGAAAGTTTCTTCTATTTATTTTGAATGCGCTCTCAACAGCTGTTAAATATGGCGCCAAGCCGAACAGCTGTTCGATTTACACCCGGCAGAGCTGCCAACCTCTCTTGCAGTGCTAGCAACATGTTGCGAGCACACAACATCGATATACTCGATACGTATCGACTCGAGCCGAAATGGAATTATTCTTCTTCGAAATTCGTGCGGTGCGGTTGTGCGCGTCGGATGAAAATACGAAATGAGCGTTTTACCAACTGCTTAAAACACCAAACACGCACTGCGCTACAAACGATGCGAAATGCTTTAAAAACAAAAGTGAACAGCAGAAAACACGGGCAACAAAATTACAACAATACTCGCAAACCTCTTATCAGTGTTTTTTGTTAAACAGCTGCAAAATAAAGTTCAACTGAGTGAAACAATTCGTTTCGCAAAAAGCCAAAAAGGAAGAGAAAAAAAAACAGTTGGATGCTGTGCTAAAAGCAACAAATACGTCAAAAATTTCGTGTGTGCTGCTCCCCAAAATTGTACAAGTGTGCATGTGTGTGTATTTACGTGTATATGTGTGTGCGCGGTCCAGTTTTGTGTATAACAAAAAAATCTAAGCTGTGTGTCCTTTGAAGGTGCCGCAAAGGTTGTATATGTATTGTGTCGAAAAGCTTAGCTGCAGCAACGCAGGATAACGCATTAGTCATCAGCAGAGGCGCTGGCAGCGCAGCCAGCGCATCCTGTGTCTGTCGACGCCGGCCCGTACAGAAACATAACACGAGCAATAAAAAAACAACAACAAAAGCTTCAGCACTAACAACAACAACAGAAACAACTTGTTCTCCATGCATCGTTTAACCCCTGCATGCGTATAACAACAACAACACGAACACCAGTGACAATAAGAAGAACGCAGGCAAAAGGAAATCGAGAATGGAGCGTAAATTCACGCGCGGCTTGAATAAGCCGGGCATGGCGGCACAGCTGAGAGAGAGCGTCTCTCAGGTGGTGCGTGAGAGCGCCGTTTTGGTAAGTTGTTGTTTTTTATTTTTTGTTTCCTGCTTCTTCTTCTCGTTGTCGTTGCTTGCTGTTATTGCATTTGCATTTGTTTCCCTACTTGTTTTGTTCACTATTTTCTAGCTCTGCTGCTTTCATGCTGTGGGTGTGTCCCGTTGCATGTCAGCCTTTATTATTGTTGTTTGCAGTAAATCAAATAGCTGTAAATGAATTCTTCTTTCGTAAACATTTTTCGAACGGATTTCAATTTTCATTTATTCCTTCACATTCCATGTTCGCTCGTGCTGCAATAAATGTTTCGGCTAGTGCTGGCCAATTTTTGGCTGAATGAAATTTGTTTCTAGAAGGGAGTAATAGGAAAAAGCTAATATATATTTTCACCAAAGATACTACATATATGTAAGTCAGGTGTTAATATTAAAAGCTTACGAAATTATTTTATGTGCTTAATTTTGTGTAAATAGTTTAGCTAAAAAGTTGTTTCTCATTCTGGAGCACAACTGTCACTATGCCATAAAAAAGCTAGATTTTATAGCGGCACTGTCAGCCCTAGTTTATTTTTTTTTTGGCAAATATCCAAGATGTTTGACTTTTCCGTTGTCTAATCATATTTTTCGTTCTCTCTCCCTTTTTTCCGCTGCCTTTTGGCACATTTTAAATTTTCTTTAATGACGTTTGTGAAATGCTTGCAAGCCAAATTCAACTGAAATTTCACGTTGCATAAGCAACAACAACTGTCAATGGACGTGGGCCCTACACACAAGTTCTCCACTTCTCACAACTTGTTCTTGTCATGGCAAGTTTATTCAGTTGTTCTGTCTCGCTCTCTGTCTCTCTCGCTCTGTTACTCTCTCGTTTGCTGCTTCTCTCAGCATGCTTTGATAATAATAATCTTTAGCTGGCTAGCAGACGTCAAGGTCGTGAAATTTGAAATAGCGCAGCTTCTAGTTTTGTTTACATTTATGTTTGAAAAACAATTATCAGATAATGATATGTTTGCCTTAAACAGTGCAATGAAATCTGCCTACAAGAAAGTGTGGTTATGAAATGGCAGAAAATATACGTAAAAAATTTACTTTATTATTAAATACTATTTTTAAATATTCTATTTACCACAATACACATACATATTTATGCATATATATATCAAGAAACAAACTACATTCAGCCATTTGTTATCTTTAAAGCCTCTCCCCTAACATATTGTTAATGTACCTAAAATAAATAATAAATAATGTAAGCGAAACATTCTAGTACTCCACAGTCAGAACTCTGTGTCAAGCCCATTTTCTTGTTAATAAACAAATGAAATGTCGTAACTGTAAATGTGTCGGAGTCTGATCCAATGACTACTCGTCTCTCACTCCAGTGAGCCCAAAATGAGACAAAAAAAAAAAAAACAACAACAACAAAAATACGGGTGTCAACATATTTAATTAATACGATTAAGAGCCAGAGTTTGGGTTGGGCAGCTGATAAGGTAATTAGCCAACTGATATGCGCACTAAGCCAAATGTTTTGTTATTATTATAAATATGACTTTTTTGGCAAAATTAAATTTGGGCCAACAGCACACCGGACAAAGCTAAAGTGAAATTTGGCAAAAGACAGAAAAAAAATGTAAACAATTTGCGGTTATTCGCTGTGCAAGAGCCGTAACGAGCTGAAAGACACGGTTCCGTCAGCTCTATTTAAACACATATTTGGGCCATCTAGCTGTTATTACATGTTTATATTTATTATACACTGTTGACCAACGGCAAAGCAAGTATATTAGTTTATAAAGTTGACGGACAAAGAGAGGGGATGTATGTCAACACGATAAGATTAACTACGAGCATCAATTTGTGTTAAGATAAAGGCAATTTTTCAACTTTCATGTGGAGTATGCACAGATGCTTTTATTTTCATCGCTCACAGGGTATTGCGCAGTCATGCAGCTTAGTTTGATTTGGTTTTCATTTGTTTTCTTGAATTGTGTATGGCCTGATTGAATGTCAATGGACAACTGTCGCTCCATACGATATGTGCGCTCTGATATCACTTACCGACTTATTACGCACTAATTGAATTAGAGAGGAAGAGAGAGTGGAAGTAGGGGCAGAGGGTCTCGATATGAGTCCCACCCACAACATGAAGCACTCTCTAATTGGCATTGATGCGCATCTAATGTTGCCTCCGATAATATGATTTTGTGTGCTGCGGGCCAAGTAATGCAATTAGTGGAACAGTTTTGCGGCAGTCACACGTGGAGAATGCCGCACTCGATTCCTGCAGAAAGTCACGCCCCAAAACCAACCGATGCGCCACATACACGAGTATATATGCCTTTGATTATTCATAGGCTCGTAGAGCTAATGATATTTGAGCTCAATGGAATTTAGGGTAAACATTGCAAATTACTCAGAGTTGAAATTAAATTGTTTAGTTTTGAATTATCGAAAGAATGCAAATATTTGCATAGAGTGAATCATAATGGCATTGAACTATGTAACTTTGGCAATAAAATTACTGTTATAGTATATATAAAAGCAAGGTTACGAAGAATAATATACATCTTACTAAACTTAGTATCTCTTGGCATACATACAGATGTATTCCGTAAACTCTTTTCTTACAGTTGCAATAGATCTCAGAGTCTATATCATATAGAGCTCGCTGCCATGTAAATGATAGCCTCGCAATGCATTTTCTATTGTACTTTAAAGTGATCTTTGTTGTTGTTTGCTCAATATATACAATTTCTCGGAAACCACTATAAAGAAAATCTTGCAAGCCGCCAATACGTCTAAGTTTTCCGCCAGTCTCAGCTCAAGCGTTTAGAAACTACGATTCAAATAAGCCCTAGCACGATAAGACTGGGAGTTTTTAGATTAGAAACAAATATTTGTTATATTGCAGCTGTTGGAATGTTTGAAATGCTGGAAATATGGTTTCTTAATGAAGCATTTTATATGTTTCCATTATATACCTACCCATTATATATATACACATTATATATAAATGTTGAGAAATTAAAGATTTTAAATTCCCTTAAGCTCAATCTATTCCATGTTTGCCTTCATAAATCTCATAAAATTCTCAAAAAAAAAACTTTATTTATTTAACGTGTTACGTTTCGCCTTTATGTTTTTTTTTGTTCTGCCCACCTTTTTGGGCATGACTTCATCTCTCATTCATGTTGAGCACATAAAAAAAACATGCATTAGAAACAGGGTTCCATAAAAGTACAATAGATATATATTCATCCATCAGCTTGCCCAAGATTCAGCTGAGTGCGGCTCAAGTGCTAAACGAGTATTTGTCTAGTTGCGCAAATATATGTAAATATGTATGTGTGTGCATTGTCTACATAAATACGCAAATCAAATTAACATCTAGTACACAGGCACATAATTCATTCGTAGAACTTTTATTGACGGCATTAGTAATAATACAATGTTAATTTATATTATATTTCGCTCTTCACTCAGAGTGCTATAGTTTTTGTGTATTTATATATACATAGTTGTATATATATATTATATAGCTGTATTTGCTTAAGTGCTTCCTCTATTTACCCGTACGCTCGTATTACCCATTCTATCTGATTGTGTTTTATTTTTGTCGAAAGTGACGCTTCACGTGTTGAGCGCTTGTGTCACGGCTCAACTGCTTGGGGAGGGTCACTGTTTCTGTCTCGCTATACCCTGTGATTGACTCGACTCGTTCAAGGCATGAATTATGTTCGCAAACTTTTGAAAATCAATGCAATTTTAAAATGTTGAAGTATTTATTATTTTTCAGAGATTGCTTTGATAGAGAAATAGCACAAAATGTTTCACTAATTTACTTTATCGATATAACATATATTTATTTTTAAACATAAAAAGTTTTGGCTAATTAATGTGAAGATCAAAATCTTATATTTGTTTGCCTTGATGCGAATTGAGTTAAACATTTTATTGGTCAATATTTTAAAAGGCAATTAAACTCAATGGCATGTATATCTTTATAAATTTAAGCATTAAAAAATAAATAAAACAAATATAGTACAACTAAGTGAACTAATTTTTTATAAAAACGATAAGTTAAAGATTTAATAAATTTACTAAAATTTATTTTAATAGTGGTTCACATAAACAAATATAAAATATTCTTTGCATATATTCATCTAGATTATGTGTTGAATGAACTATATACCAAAAGTAAGAGAATGTTTCGAAACATAAATTTAATCATATATTATTTTTACATTAAAATATATCAACTATATATAGAGTACCAAGCTATATACATAGAGCATCTGGCAGTCCAGAACCCTATCGTATTCATGTTTGTTTGGTCTCCTCCCTATGTGTTACTGCTATAAAGGTGTATTCTTTGTTGTATTCTCTTTATTTTATTTTGTACATTTTGCTGTAGCTTTCGTGCTGTTCATTTGTTTGGCGAACGGAAGCATCGCCTCTGAACTTTTGACGTTTGCTTGTTTGTGAGTATGTATCAATGTGTGTGTGTGTGTGCGTGTGTTTGCGCTTTAATAAGCAGTATATTATACCTGGATGTGTTTACCTGCCTCATCATATGCAAACTATAAGTATTAACATCAGTTAATTATTGTATATATTTCCGAAATATCTATACATAACATTCTCTACACACACTCGTGACGCATCTCATATATAGTTAATGTTTACATACATATATAAATGCTATATATAATCAATGTTCAAGCATTTGAACGTAATAGCTTGTACTGATCCAAGCCAATTGCTGCTTCTTTCTATCATTTTAGATACACTGCCCTGGAAGCTATCAGCGCAGTCTCTCCATTTTGGTAACAACAACAATTAACCAGCCTACTTAACCCAGATTCAGCCATCTATATTCTGCACTCGATATTTATAGACTAACAACAGCAAGCAAAGGTCTTATCGATTGCCTTCAGAACGCGACCTTCACTTGGGGTGACTAATAAAATGCTTTCTATGGCACGCTCATCAGACTGAGTTCCTGAATGATTAATGAATGCATGTCATGCATAATTTAAGTGTAATTTAATGTACTCCTCGATAATCTCGACTCATAATTTTCAAGCACTTTCCATGCACACATAAGTCATGCGATTATTTCTCCCAACTTTCCACAATTCAAGCCATCGAAAACCGTATTCACGCTCATGTTGTACTCCTCTATTTGAACAGTAGATGCATCTTTATCTAAATTCAATTTGCCGCCCGCCTTTTAAGGTGGAACTGTGGACTGATAGACTGACAAACTGACAAACTGACGGACTGACAGTCGTGCTAATATTGACATTGAAAATGGTGTCTAGTGGAAAAACTCGATGCTTGAAACTCGAAACCCAAACCCGAAACCTGTTCCTTCACTGAGAACGAATCAAGTTTAAAGCTTTTCCAATTCTATTTCTATTTTTATGAGAGTTGAGAAAAAAGTGAAAAAACAAAAAATGAGAAAACAAAACTGCAGGTGCAATCAGTTTTATGGTTTATGAGTCTTGTTATGTCGCTGTTTATGTTGACTCACGGCCACTGAATGCTCCATTTAAGCCGCAAATTGTGGGCCCCAGAGACCCGCTCTCGTCAACTGCTCGCCGCGCACATTTGATGGTTATAAATAAAATTATTAATAATACACACTTCTACTGCTATTGTTGCGAAATTTACCGGAAATTCGGCACAATTGTCGGCACCGGCAAACCAAAACGAAAAAACAAACAAACTATAAAAATAATTTAATTAAATGTATCCAACTTTTAGTTTTGTGCGCAAAATGTGAAAAGAAAAATTTCTCACGCGAATGCTGAACGCAATGATGATATAGTATGGTTATAGGGTATATTGGCTTCTTATATATAAATAATTAAGAAATAACTAAATTCCCCTTGTCTATCGGCAAAGCTCACAAACCTTTGCTCATTTAAAATGAATAAATTTACATTACATATTTATTTACATATATATACAAGTACTGTCATAGTCATGCACTCCCGATCAGGGCACTCGCATGTCTTTGTTGTCTTGTTTAGATATTTGGGAATTTGCGTTTGTATTTTCGCACAAGGCGTCATATTCTACAGAAGAAGGGGAAAAAAAGAGAAAATTCGCGCGGCCTGACCTATAATAAAAACATTTCTTGCGAATCCGAAGCGCTGCGAATTTTTTCAAATTAATGGCAACTTAATTTATGGTCACGCCTCAGATTTTCAGCAATGATAAATAATGTAGAGAACACAAATTGAAGTGGCAGATAAATAAACATCTTGTGGATTCCACAGCAAGTGAAGCAACGCCGGCAACGGCAGCAGCAAACATGAAAATGTGTGAAAACCAAAAGTTTATCTAGGCGCTGTAAGTACGTAAAGCTGTAAGAGAAACCGCCATATACTAGGGAACGTACGACTAGGTGAAAGGTGCGAATTTTACAGCTGTTATATGCTTAATAATCGCAGAGATTTACAATATTTATAAAAAGAAGCCTCTTCGAATGAATTTATAAACATGTTCAATGATTTGTTCGCAAAAACTTCAGTGGGTGAAAATATATTTTATTTATATTTCGAGTAAATATATACATATATTTCTTGTTAATTGGCTGAGTAAATGAATGTGTATAGATTTCACTTTCAATTGAAATATATAATTATTGAAGCAAAACATATTCCTATTGTTCATTCCATTCTTTTTAACTAGAATTACTAATTACCTTGAATAGTTGCACGATTTTTTCAAAGACCATTTATATATAAAATACACACATATATAAAAAATAAAAAAAAATAAAATATAAAATAAAAATTACAATATAATTAATTAATTTATAGAATTAGAATATAAGTATCATCTGCAATTTGATATTTTCTTAGCATTGAAAAAGAATCTAAACTGATGTCTTTAAATTTTATAAAATTAAAACATGGATTTTTATATATTTTTATTCAATAGTCGGTATATTTTCTTAGTTATTTACTTTTGTTTTGCTGCAAAAATTCCAGGAATTTACTTAACAAATTTATGCAGACTTAAAAAGATTCTTTTGATGCCAATTCTTAAATAATTTAATCTTTACAGCGAATCTTTCTCTGCATGTTTTAATATATTTATATATAATGCCAAATTTAAACTTGGCTCAGCTCGGTTAATTGGGACAGTAGGGCCTTCGAGCCCTAGACACACACGCACACACACACAAAAGCGCTGAAAAGATTCTGTGATAAATCAGACAAGCAAAGGTCGCTGACATGTCGCATTGTGTCTCGTGTGTCTACAAACCCTTTTTTCTTGTTTTGTACCCGTTTACACAGAAAAACAAAGAATGCGAATGAAATCCACTGAAAAGCACGACAGATCCAAACTTTGGCACAGAGTGCGAGGGACAAAGCTTGTATTGTCAGCGCTCCATACGGAAGCGAGCTGAGTATTTATGTATATATTTTTTTAAATTTTCTTTTTTTTTTGTAGTTTAGTTTAGTAACTATGTCAACCCGAGACTCGAGAGTTATAACAAACGATGTCTATTCTAATGTGGATACACTGAATGCCAAATATTTGCCAGCCAAGTCTGCAGATAAAACTGCCGTGTCGACGAGCTCAAGTAGAATTCTATAGCAAGTGCTAAATGCTTGCTCACGCATCGACTAGATACGCCCACCGTGGAGAAGTGAATGACATTTGCGAATATAATGGCATTTGTTAAGGGAATAGTCGTAAAAAATTATTGCTGAGCATCTGAGAAAATCCATTTGCATTTTACGATGCCAGTCGAATTTTCATGCATTACCCAAAGAGGGCATATCGATTGTGGCATTCAGTATGTAACGTAGGGAGTGGATGTTTATGTTGTGAACAAATGTCAGCTGTCAAATGAGTTTTTGCCAAGAAATATATACATACGTCTTATTATGGTGAATTCCAGCTTAGATTAGTAATTACTACCGCAGAAGCGTATATCAACTTCCACTTGACACAGTTCAACTTACTTTTCAGTTAATGATGGATGCACACACAGAGGTTGACTGCGTTGTTCGTTCGCTCAGAGTCTCTAAACAAGTTAAATGAGAAAAAGTTAAATTGATATTGAGGTAGCTGCTGTTTGCGAGGGGGAGCTGCATCTGGGTGGCAGTTGTGCAGCTTGTTTGTTTATTATGCAATAGAGTAGAGTGCAAAAGCAACGACAACAACAAACAACAATAACAACATCGTCAACTGTCAACAGAGCACAAAAGTCGCAGACATTCGCAAATAACAAAAGTGCGAAAAGTGCCAAGAGAAAGGGTGGAAAGATGATGACGTCGCTGCATGGAGTGCGATGGCATCTAAATAGTTTTAGTATTACCTGTTTTTTCAGGGGCGTGGCCGTACGTGTGGGTGGCGAAATCGCTTGCATTGCGCATTTTTCCTATGAAAGTTCAATTGTCAATAATAAAGCAAAGAGATTTACGATAGTAACTGTTGAATTTGTGCAGCTCAGTAGTGATTATTGATTACCGTATGCTGATTATTGATTTCTCGTATACTCTTTAGATGAACAAATAGTGAAGTTCAAACATTTGAATGCTTTTCTATTTTCTCTTTGAATCCACAAATCAAAAAAGTTTTTGTGACTTTGCTCATAAATGAGCAGATCGTTGGAAAAGCCTGAGAGATTTGATCAATTTAATCAGCCTGTAAAATACATAATTAAATACTTAAATAAAATATATGGCTTATATTACAAATTTGATAACAGAAACCTGCTAAGACAGCCAAAAAATAAATATAATTATATGTATATAGAGAACATTCCAGACACAAGTATCTGTAAGCTATACGATATTGTTTATATAAAGGGATTACAAGTTATATTAAATACATACTAAATATGTATTACATCATAATTGTATTCAAACTGTGCACGGCATTAATATTTATCTAGAACTCAAGTCTGCAGTTAACTTAAGTAACGCTTGAAGGCCTTCCCAGCTGCATTAAGATGTGTGTCACCTGCTGGCCTAACCCTTCAAGGTCAAACGATACACTTAACTTCACTTGCCACTTCCCACCTCGGCCGCCTTGGCTACTTTATTTCAACAAATTCATTTTGCCCTCTGGCAGTTGCTCAACCGCTTTTGCTGACCGACCGGCGCAAGCAACAACAACAACAACAACAATAAAGACAACAAATCAAGCACTGCTTGAGCTGAGGGAAGAGAGAGAGAGAGCGGTCTTGTGGGGCGTTGGGGCTCAGCCTTGAGGACAACTTCAAAGCAAACGCATGAAAAAGCAAGTGCAGCGCAAAGTAGAAAGAGCACAAAATGTATAAAAAAGTTCCCACGCGACAAGAGTGCAAAAGCTAATCGTACAGAAAAAACAAACAACAGTTTTTCAATTCTTGGACATGTGAAGCAGCGAAAAAAAGAAATAACAAAATAAACTAGTAGCAAAGTATTTTTTGTGGTTAAAAAGACTCAACTTGAAAATACCCTGTGTCCAAAGCCAAATTGGACAAACGGAAGTGGGTGACTTTGATTTATGATATTACTTTAACTTATATTTGAAGAGAATTCCTTTTTTTATTTTTTGTATCTACTATCAAATGTAACTCGACTGATACAGCTGTTCCCACATTCTCAAGGGTATAAGGAAATAATTAAAACCGATTCGAGGCACTAGAAATCGTTTTAATAGAAAGCAAAAGAAAAGCAAACACAAACTTTAGTTATTAAAAAAAAAAAAAAGTCAAATGAAAAACAAAACATTTTTGGAGTAAAAAGCACATTGGACGAGCGTAGTTGAAAGAATATTGCGACGTCTTCAATCTAAACTCGTAATTGCCCCC